TCAGTGCTAGAATGGAGTGGGGTTTGCTCTCTGTTTATATACAGTGGCATGCCCTGCCAGTTTTGGTGGTGTTTTTTTTTTTTTTTTGGCAATTTGTAATATGAGATTGCATGTAGGAGACAGTACTAAAAAGTTTTATAACATTTATAGGTTCTCAGAACTTGGATGATGGCAACTTTTGCTATATATTTATAAAATGACTCATGTAGTTTAAGTAGTAAATGTATGACTACTTATTCAAGTAATCATTTGCTTTCCTTCCCAAGCAATGTAAAATTGGGTAAAAGCATAAAGAAGCAACTTAATGTTGAACTGTCTAGTTCCAGTAAACAATTGATTTATGGTAGTGTCAGAATATTTTCTTTTCCGAGCAACTGGCTGAATACAGGGAAATTATGGTGTCTGCAAATAACCCAGCAAGACTCCATACCATGTGTCTGATTCAACCAATCCACCCAAGGGTCTCCCTTGAAGCTGGCAATATACCATTATCATTCTACCTGATTACATCATGATATGCTCAAAGTTATTTAGCTGAACAAGGTTAAATAAAGTGTTTCTTGTACTAATACTAGGTTACTCATGCCTCTTTTCTTGACGTAGTCCTACACCATTATGACTGCACAGCAAAATTAAGAGGTTTTTGTCTTTTGTCATGAAAAATAGCACTTTGGTATATTCATTTGGCATCAACATTGCTTTTGCAGTACATTTCAGCTACAAGAAACGGCTTTGTTTCGCTGCTGAAAGATGGATTATGAATTGAAATATTAATACCAATACAACAGTACTGTACTGCAACTATAAAGCAAGCATGGAAAATATATTTACCTTCAGCAGCACAGATAGCGCTAAAGCATGCTATGGGATTAGGAAGCATCTACTTCAACTTTGCCTTCTATAGGTTGCTTCTACAGTAATAGTGATTGCTCTTCAAATGTATTAAATACTGTATGCACTTTTCAGTTCACAAAATGTTGAATGATTTAGAAAAAAATTCCATTCCTGATAAAATGCACCTTTTCCAAATTTTCTTAACAACTATTAATAGATAACATTAAGAAAGAGATCAAAAGGAAAAAATGCTTAAAATAGCTAGCTGCATTATATTGGAATCTATCAGTAATTCAAAAGCAAACCTGAACAATACTAAAACGTATAACAAGAAGATTCAACTTTTTATTTATAGAAAACAAACAAAATTTAGGATCGCAACGAACAGTCTTCAATCCATCTTCCATTCCATATATCAGTATTAAATTTACAGTCAATTTACACAAATTGAAACACCATTGGAAGCTATGTGGTTTCCATCTTGTAGCAATGCTTTTCCAGTTCCGCTCTGAAAAAGTGAGGCATTTAGAACATTACATTATGAGAAATTGACGCCTGAATTTTTTTTTTAACATTACAAACAATAAGTTGAAGTAAAGTTAACTTTAAATTGGTTTAAATCAATTAAATGTCACTCAGTCCTATGCCAGTTTTACTCAATTACTCTTATAATTTTCCTCTGAGCAGACATAAGGTTGTATACAACCTTGAAATTCAATATAATTTCCAGGTTGGGGGCAACATGCCTTCAAGTACCAGCTGCAGGGAAACAATGGCAGGAGATGTCATGTCTCCATCTCCTTGGAACTTATCTGGTTGGTTAATGAGAAACAAGGGGCTGGACTAAGATAGGCTCTGGCCTATCATGCAGGTCTGTTCTTATGCACTCATAGCCATGGCCAAAATGATTTCATGTGGGACCAAAATCCCACACAGTTTAGTCTTGATTTGATAGAAGTTAAAGCACAACTTGAATACCATATATATCTATATCTATATCTATCTCACTTCACTCTCTTAAGCTGTTTTTACCATACTTTCCTTCTCCTGTCACTTGTGGCACTGTCCATTTTCCCCTTTTTCCTTTTTTTTTTGGTAGTTGAAGCAGTGCCTACAGTTCTCCACCTTTCTTGCTTCAAATAGCTACTTATTATCTAGGGCCAAATGGTGGCAAGTAGAGGCAGATATTGCTAAGGGTACAGCCAATGCATCAAAGGCACATAGAGTGCCTTAGTATATATGCAAACAATAAACTATAATGTAACTTGAATACATTTTGCTCATTAAATGTTATCCCCTATTCCTTTGACCAAGATATTTGGCTATTTTATCAACATTCTCTTTATTTTATCACATTCTCTACGTTCTGGAATGAACCTGAATCTGTTTTCTCAGGCTGATAAGAAGAACTTACACAACAACTTTATTTCAAATTCTGCTAGGACAGTTTGTTAAGCCATTTAGTTCTCTTAATGTTTTCAATATTAGTTATCATTACAGCTCTTTTACTAGATGCATAGTGTGGCCAAACTTCACTAAAATGATGTAATTACCCTACTTCTGTGAAGCTAGATAATCCATAATACTAAACTAAAAGTAATATTATTAAAACAATCCTAGCCTCATTTCATGCTCCTTATCCACTGCGAAATTGTCAATTTAATCTTTTATTAATCATAGTTTACCATATCATCAAGCCCCAAATAAAGTAACTTTAACAGAAACATTTTCAAACTAGATTTCATGAAGTTAGCATTTTGTTAACCACTGAAGATGAACTAAAATTATAGTTTAGAAGCTATATTTAATCTACAACAGACATTTCTTGTAGTGCCAGAAAAGCAAAGGGAGAACAATGCTTATTTTATAACACAACACCCATGGTTGAAGATTACATCTGAACAAAATCAATGTTTTTGCCAGTAAAATATAGTTCCATATCATATACTAAAGCAGAAGCTAAATATTATTAATGCTTTCAGATATAATTTTGTTTTAGGGGTAACCTACACTCTTTTTTAATCATTGATACAAACTGTTTTCAATTTACCTTAATTGATTAGAGAAATCATCTTCCACATTATCATCATCCCAATTATCTTCCCACACATGTGCATCTTCATCTTCATCTAAACCAGCCCAATCTAAAACAAAGCAATAAACAATGTTTTTAATACATAATTCATAGTTCAAACAACTTTGGATATGCCTCAATTTATAAATGAAAATATATCATTCCATTTTAATTTCCAACAGTCTGTAGTTTCATGATTTTTTTTTTTTGGAACAATAATGTTAATTTTGATACATGACTAAATTAAAATTGAAAGAATAAAGTGGTTAAAACAATGGTACTTGCTGTGTCTACTGTTTTTTCTAGCAATGCTATCTAAGACTATCAAGTTCCACCACTATGAACAGTACTTAGATCTGGACCAGAGACAAAAATCATGGTTTGTAAATATGACTGCAGTCAAATACTACAAGACCATCACAGACTGAAAGGTCAGGCTGATAATTAGTGGCACAGATATTCCTAATCTGTGAGGTTGGACCACCCTATTGAGCAAGTTGAGTGAGAACTGAACAACCCATATAACAAGATAGGGCTAGGAAATGAAATAAAGCCATAAAAGAACAGCAAATCAGATGCTGCCTGAATAAAGATCACCTATGAGCCCCTAAGTTAAAACCAGGTTTAGTACACATTAGGAAAAGCTAAGGGCCTAGAGTTCTGGCAGATGGTAAGAATAAGAAGAGGCCAGTCACTCCATAGGTACTGCTCCAATATCAGTTGGAACTATAATAGGAGGGAATTTAATACCTGGTGTAGGTAAGTTACATATCAGACTTTATCATCTTTGCAAAACAAGTAGGAGCTCAGACTCTTAAACAGTATGCTTTTCTTCTAGCTGGCTTTCATACTATCAGGACAAATATATAAGATTTGAGATGCACAATGACAAAAGCTATTAAGTGAACAATTTGCTAGCACATGTCAGTTTTGGTAGTTAACTTGTTATTGGTTACTAAAATCAAAATTGTCTATTCAAATGTTTCTTATCTCCAGCATTCCAATGTAGGACAAAGCAGAGTCTAGTCTTGTTCCTAACAATATAGCGTTATTTGATGCAAAATAATATAGAGTTCCTGAGACAGTCCACTAGACGTGCAGAGAAATTATTACAACTTTATCCAGTGGTATTTTTCAAAAGGCAGAACCTATGAACAGTTTAAGGCATAGACGTTTTACTTACTAAAAAGCACTTCATTCATTTGTGCAGGAAAAAAATCCTGCATAGCACAAATACTTTTATAATTTTGAAACATATACTGGGTTGGTACTGATGTACTCATATATGACTTCTGTTGATCAAGTTAAGAAGTCTCGGACTATACAGACACTCTCTTTGCAGTGTTATTCTTGCAGTGTTGCTCAGATTATTTGTGCTGGTTAACCATATTTCATGCTTAAGAAAATTTATCTTAAATCAGAACTAGAGATTAATTTCAAATTGTATTTGAAGTCTATGGTTTAAAGAAAACATTAATCTTTACAGAAATTAAGGGCTTGTTTCAGAAAGGCAATTTTTCCACATTAAATAATATTTAAATCACAATGAAATGCTTAATCCTGTTAACAAGGAACTTCAGAAAAGGGATATTCAAAAGCGGAATTTTCTCTATGCTCTAAGCAAAGCAATCAGGAATATTGTGAAAGAACCCAAGGAGACCCAGTATTATTGTTTATCAGTATTGACTGTTTATCAGTTACTGTTATTTTGATAAACTCATAAAATCCATTAAGTTACAGTTCTTAACCAATGGATGATAATCTCTGATTCAGGTACTAGCACCTTGTTTTAATAATACCATGTCTAAATAAAGAACTCAGAATTATAATTTAATAATGAAACCTAAATGTACATATTTGGAACCAGAAATAAAAAAAATCACAGTAAGTGGTGAACAACTTTTTCTGGACCAAGAAATGTACTCTGAGTAGTATGAAAGGGACCTTACTCCACAAAGCAATAAGTAGGCCAGTACAAAGGTTAAATTTAAGTTAATGTGCATCACATTAACTCTGTTCAGCTTCTTTAATTATGATTACTCTCCAGTGTATTATTTAATAATCTTCTTCTTCTGTCACATTAAAAATCTCAATTTAGTAATAAATCTTGGAGGTCTCTGCATTATATGTAATCTTAGGTAATAAATTAAAATGAGGATATTTAAAACAGGTGTAGACTTAAGTTCTACAATTCTAGCTTTAGCTCAGCTGGACTATTGACAAAACTTTTAGAAATTAATGGAATGCTAATTAATACAATGAAAACAAGATGCTCTATTCTCTAATTTTGTTGAAAGACAGAAATAAAGCACACAACTATAGATCAAATATTTGTTCCAGATCATATCACCTATGTAATATATCTTTGTATTTGAATGTAGTTTAAAAACAGATATTTTAGAATATATTTTATTGAAAAATCTTCTGATTTATAAAAAAGGGACCTTGAAGAAAATATATATAGACTTGGGGTGACACACATACTTATCACTCTACACCAAATAACATACTAATTTTCTAGGAAGGAAAAAACCAAGAATTTCCAAAGATGGCAGAATTTTCCTAAGAATTTGGGGTAATACAGTAACACATATATTGGGGATAGCTTTCTCAAAACATGAGACCAGGGGCACGATCATTATGTTCTGTATAACTTGCAGAATTCTGAACATTATTTGTCTAGGAATACTGTTACCTCACTGATCTTTGATCCCTACTGATTAAATTTTCTTTACAACAATTGGATTTAATGTTTATAAAACAAATAGGACATTCATCTTTACAAAAATAAGATAGTAAGACTTATTCATGCAGCTGTGTACACTGAAATATATACAGCTGCATGTGTGTGTGTGTGTGTGTGTGTGATCTAGTGATATAATTTCCCCGTGACCAGATTAAGCGGAAAATCAAAAAGCACTACTGAGATTTGAAATTACTACTTCAGTAGCATTTTTATGTGCTGAATTTAATATACCAATGAGCTGAAGTGCAGAGAATTCTTATTTATAAACATAGTTGCTCAGTTCCATGTTTAAAGCCCAGCTATGATTTGTCTATTATTCTAAAATAATATTGTTCACACCTCTATAAGATTTCAAAAAATGTTTGGAAAACAATTCCCTTATGTTAGGGAAGTACTATTATAGCATAACAGAATGCTTAATGAAAGCAGACCAAATCATTTTCAAATGGCTGAATATAGCATCCAATAACAAATTCATTCCCAGAATGTAAGAAACCTTACTAAAAACATTTTTAGAATGTGTTTTCATTATATATTAACATAATTTTGCATTGCAAGAAACTAAGTTATAGCTTCCATACATGCACTGATAATTCATTTAATTTGCATTTAAAAATTATTGTATCTGAAGGTCACCACTTATTCTAATAAACTGAAGGTCTTCTTACCATTAGTCTTTAGACAGATAACGAACCTCAGTTTGTACATAAAGCATTAAATATCTTATACCCAATGAACACAATCAGATCCATAATATATAACGGACATAAGCAAAGCACTTTTAAAGTAAAACATGGAAAGTGAATTTATTGATATTTTTTAATCCAAAAAGAGCTCTGCAAATAAATATATTAATAAATACACATCAATTAAGATAAGAAATTACCTTCTACGCTGTAAACATCAAATCAATTTAAGCTTACTCAAATGCTACAAAAAAAATCTAATTTAAATATTTGCATTAGCAAAGAAAAGCTAAGGACTGTTTTGACAAGGAGATACTTATACTATAAGCCATGATCAATTACTTAGAAGGAAAACCTGAGTATTACTGTTATGTAAAAATGTTAATTTACAGCAAAAATGTGTGTGAATCCTAAATTCATGTTCATTATTAACTGTATGTTACTATCCAAATCAAAGACCTGATGCAACAAGTGCTACAAGCTTAACCTGCCCTTCCTTACATTCCATCACTTTTGTAAATCAAGGATAACCATCTGGCTTTGGAACACCAAGGGTTGCTCCAAACATTCGCACTCTATCTACTAAATAGAAAAATAAGAGGCTTTCTTCCCTAATAGCTTTTAAATCCAGGTTCTGCAAATGGATAATACATCTATTTTTATCTCGAACCCCAAGCATTCCCTAAAAATCAGTCTTCCAGATGTATTAGGCTACCCCTCCCAGAATCCCCAACCAGGTCGTCCAGGACTGTGGCTACAATTCTCACGTTTGAAGAACTTCTAGTTTCGGGGACCGACCGCCTCCCTTTTCGGAAAGAACTCGGGGCCTCTTCCGCCCCACAGGAGAGCTTCGCTTCTTTTCAGACAAAAGCAGAGAAAAGGGTTGGCCGGACCGACGCCTGCAATGCCCGAACCCGTTGGCCTCGTAAGGACACCACGCGGCGAACGGGGCTCTTCGTGGGGAACGAGGGGAGAAACGAGGAATGTGCGCGTGGGGCGGAGGCCTGCTTTGGAAGGAGCGTCCCGCAATCTGGAGCTATACGTAGCCTCCAGATGTATCGGCTGGGGATGATAGGACCTATAGTCCCACCTCTGGAAGGCAGGCAGGTTGGGTGGGGCGGCTCTCAGGCCGCTTCGCATCCCGACCCCCGAGGCGCAGACACGGACTAGCCGCTGGCGAGAAACCCGCAATCGCTCTCCCTCCCCGCCTCCCCATTTTCCAAACTACCTTCGGCAGGAAACTCCTCGAATTCGTCGTCTTCCTCTAGAAGCCCCAGATCCACGGGTTGCTTCTTTTCCGACATCATCGGCCTCGGCCTGCTCCTGCCGCTCTAGAGTCCTCCAAGAAGTCCTACTCTACTGCTCCCCGCTGAGAGTGACGGGATCGGCCGGCGAACAACCCTCCAACTTAAAACGCCTGAGG